AGGATATGAACATATGCTTGATGTGCAGTGTTATGGAACAGCAAGGAAAAGAATACGAGAAATTAAGGAGGGATACAAAGTGAGACAGAAAAGGAACTCCCTAATCTATAGAATGAACTTTCTTCTTGTCCTTGGTGGCAAACGCTGGTTATGTACGTACGAGTGAGGTTCTTGTGATCAAACCTTAATGCACAAAGAAGCATGAAAAAAGCAGCTTCAGTAATTAAAGCTTGAATGCTTTTTAGAAGGTAAATCTTGGACTCTAACTATGGACTAAAATATCACCCATTAGATTTTGTTTAAGATATATGAACAATAATACCAGTGTTTCAGCAGTTTGTTTGATTCAGAGTTTTGGACTTTATTTACTTGTTCTACCAGAAAGCATGATAAGTAGCATCTTAATTTCATGCAATGTGAGAATCCATATCCAACACCCTAATATTTCCATTTGTTGTGGAGCTTGAACACGAGATGGTGTTCAATTTTCATGAATGGGACCGTGACAGGACATGGCTGTTGGGGAATCATAGCAGAATACCCGGAATCAATTTTTCTACCGTTGTGCAATCAATTACAGGAATCTAACAGCAAAAGGAAATTAAGAACACCAAGCTTTTTACATGGAAAACCCAAATTAATAAAAATCACGGTACTTCGCCTAGATTAAAATATCCACTATAACAATAACAGAAGTACACAATCATCTTTTTTCTGGTTTGTTAAAAATAATAATAATAATAATAAAAGTACGCAGTCATCTTGAAGTAGCGACGGAGGATTACAATCATCTTGACCCATATACCACCAAAACCCTAGTCTCTCAGGAGCGAGCATCGCTCAACCTCTTTCACCCCTAGGTTCTATTTAAAACCACGAGTTACATACTTACATAGGTACATTGGGAGTGTTTGGAACCAACAACTCAACTGGTGGGCTGGGCCTGACCACAAAAGTGTCAGCGCTTGGGTACAGAGGGTTGATCTGCTCTCTTCAACACCCATTCTCCTGCATTGCGAAGTCAGTTTTAGCAGAAGCACTCTGGTTGTCACCATCCAGTCCTGCATTACCACGTGAAATATCATTAGTCATGACCACATTCTCCTCAATGGATAGAGTTGTTCTGTAAAACATAAACCCAACAATGTTTAATTAAGACTCACAAAAGCTAGAGCAAGCATACCAGAATTATATTTCACTGTATTAGAGATGCTTTCTACCCTTCTTCCTGCTATTGTTGCGCTTATTTGATGAAGACCTGTTAGCGGTTTTAAGGTCAGTCACCAATGCAATATGAAACTTATAATTTGGGTATGGAGTAATATTTAAGGCAGACCAACTTACCAGTAAAGCTGATGCCATACAGAACAACTTCACAAAACTCCAACTTGAACTTGTTCCTCGAGTCACATCGCCTCCTAAGTGGGCAGATGAGTTATTTGAACTGTTCTACATAACATAAACCCAAAACCAAGCAACTACTCTTAGTTACTCCTGATTGCAAACCTTGATGCATAAAGAATGGTTAGGAACAAAATAATTGCTCCTGGGATACTTCTCTGTGATAGATCTTCTACATAACATATACTCAAAACATGCAAGTGATATTTCTAATTGCAATGATTCTCAAAACCAAATACTAGTAACAAAGAAACCAGTTACTGGAAACCAGTTAATTTTTCACTAACTCAGGAAGTATCTAGTAACAAATAAACCAGCGACTGGAAATCAAATCTGCTACAAACAATGCAACCGATGCCAAAGAAATAGAGAAAAATAAAATAATGAGAAGGAAAATTGGCAAAGCATATGCCTCTTAAACAGATTTTTAAGAAAAACAACAATTCTCAAAGTTACCTAGATGCAGAAGGAAAGATTGAGAATCCCCAATAATTCGCTGTATGATCTGAATTTTCGAGGCCAGCCAATTACTTTCAACATAAGAGCTTGCCAGCTTAAATTAATGCCATGATAGAATATCACAGTGAATGCTATAATCCTTAACGAGACTCATAAGAAGATATACTTAGAAAACATACCAGAAAGCTCACCAGGTGCCTGCAACCATAAAATGTGTTACGGTGCGTAATGTGTAGGTTAACTGAACAAATGTTGAAAGTCCAAACTTTGTGATGCATTCACAATTTGAAAGAAATGGGTATGAGCAATTAATATGCTGCTTACCTCAATTGTGAGATCTCCCAAGTCAAAGGGCTTTGTAGTGGAAGCAGTTGAAATCAACAGATCTGGTTCGAATTGATAAGTCATAAGTGAATTTATAAAGAAATTGATTCTTAAAGGATTTGATTAGCATTGCCTTGAATTGGATATACTAAT